TTAGATGGTTGGACCCGCATTGCACAGGTGCCCATGCCACCACAATATGATGGTGCATGCGTGCCCAACACCAGACAGTAGGTGTGCCTTCCTCTTAAAGCTTTTTGGAATTCACAATTATTGGTGTGCAAATATTCTCACCTGATGGTATGATGAGGAGCAATCTTATCATAGCACAGATCTAGTTACTTTACTTACAATCCTACAGTGTAACCCTACTGATAAAACCAGAAGAGACATTTTTGCTGCAGAGACAAGCTCCTGGGGTTGTCTGTAGCAGCCAATAAATTTACGGCATTAAAGCGACATTAAAGCTTCCTTTTTTTAAAAAATGAAAATAACAAACTTATTATACTTACCTGCTCTGTGCAATGGTTTTGCACAGAGCAGCCCCGATCCTCCTCTTCTTGGGTCCCCTGCTGGCGCTCCGGTCTCCTCTTCGGCAAGTGCCCCATGGAAAGTCGCTTTGCATGGGGCACCCATGTGGGCTCACTCCCAATCCACCCTGTCTGCGTCCATTGACACAGAGCAGGCGGAGCCGCTACCTTGGCACAGCATTTGATTGACAGTAGCGCCAGTGGCTCCCACTGCTATTAATCTGTCTAGGGAGGAAGGAGACAGTGGCAAGAGCTGCTGCTCTCATGCAGATCGATGGATCGGGTTGGGCTTAGGTAAGAATGAGGGGGTGCTAAGGTTTTTTTACCTTAATGCATGGAATGTATTAAGGTGAAAACCTTAAGGCTTTAGAACCACTTTAATTCCTATGGAAAAGTGAAGACAATTATACAGTTGCTAAGGTAATCAACTCCTAACACCAGCACTTGTGCGTTACTTATTTTCAACCTCTGACCTCTGTGTTACAACTCTTGACCTTTGCACTCTGTGTGTTACATATTCCTGAAACATGCTCTTTCTGTGTTACACACTCCTGACCCCTGCTCTCTGTGTTACACACTCCTGACCCCTGCTTTCTGTGTTACACACTCCTGACCCCTGCTCTCTGTGTTACACACTCCTGACCCCTGCTCTCTGTGTGTTACACACTCCTGACCCTGCTCTCTGTGTGTTACACACTCCTGACCCCTGCTCTCTGTGTGGTACACACACTCTTGACCCCTGCTCTCTGTGTGTTACACACTCCTGACCCCTTCTCTCTGTGTGTTACACACTCCTGACCCCTTCTCTCTGTGTGTTACACACTCCTGACCCCTTCTCTCTGTGTGTTACACACTCCTGACCCCTGCTCTCTCTATGTTACACACTCCTGACCCTGCTCTCTGTGTGTTACACACTCCTGACCCCTGCTCTCTTTGTGTTACACACTCCTGACCCTGCTCTCTGTGTGTTACACACTCTTGATCCCTGCTCTCGTGCACTTTTAACCCCTGACCCATGCACTCTGTGCAGTATGCACTCTTGACCCAGATCAGAGTAGGTTGTGCTCCTCAGCCAAAAGTTCCCTGCATAGTACTTTCAATGGACAGAGGGCAAGGGTGGCGAACTTGTGCCCCAGGCAAAGATATTGGGGCTCATATAAGCCATTTGTATCAAGAAAAGCTCAGTTTTCCTTTTTTTTCTTTCAATAAACTGGCCTGAATGAATGACAAGCTTTATGGTTTATGAATGACAGGTACACTTTAACTGCAAAGGATCTTTTCTTCTGTAGCAAGAGACACACATCACTTGTTATAGTTGTGATATGACATGGGCATGTCTCATATGTCGAAGAGATGTGTAATTGGTATTTCCCCTCCTACATGCAGCCCATAATGAACTATACTAAGTATAGTTCCAAGCAGTGGGTGTTCGTACATCAATTGTTATAGAGGTGAGCCAGATGACAATTTTGGCATTTGTTCTTCAGAAATGACCTCCAGCATTGGTAATTTCAGCATCTACATGATCATTTATGGAGAAATTTATACAGAGATTTCCAATTACCACACTCAGTATGGAATTTGACAGTAAACTATACTGTTTGTATTTGTCTCAATCCTTGAACATCTAACAAAAAGTTTAAAAAAAAGATGACTCCTTAAATGTACCTGACGCTGTACTTTATTCTGGTATGACATTTGGCTAAGTTGATTTTAATGTTAAGCTGTATATTTGATGTATTCTATGTTCACTCGTATTTGTGTCTTTTTACATATGGATACATCATATTTTTGCTTAGTTTTGTACAAATAATGTGTGTACGTTTCAGCTGTGATATAGTGATCTGCTTTGTTGCAGGTGGTCTAGCGAGCACCTAGAACAAAAAATCTTGTTGTCAGCAGGCAACCTTAATAAGCCAGAGGACACTTCTCCATTGGCAGCAGGGCTGTGGATAAGGGGGTACCACCAGTCCTCCTGTGCCAGCAGGGGGACCCCCAGGTAGCTGAATTGATGTTGGCTAGGAGGGTGATCGGCACATCGGGGAGGGGTGAATTACTAGAACCGATCCCCTGTATGGTTCTCTCTGCTGAAAGCTGTTGCAGGGAGAGCCATACAGGGGATCGGTTGCAGTAATTGCCCCTCACTGTACTCATCACCCTCCCTGTGAACCTAAGTTTCCCCTTGCTACCCAGGTCCCCCTGTGTGCCTCCTCCCCCGCAGTGCTACCAGCTTCCCTTCTCTCCTTCCCACTGGCAGCTGCCATGACACAATAGGATTGTTCAGGATGGAGAATAGGGAAAAGGTCTGGTAAAAATTTCACATTTGCCATCTGCATCCTTTCTTGAATGAACACAATGAGTGATCAGTAGCAATCTGAAGCATAGCAAACTGTGTTTTGTTGTGTTTTTTTTTTGGGGGGGGGCAGGTTGGCTGTGTGGGCCCCTGTAGCCCTGATTGGCAGTACCACGACTAAAGAAAGTCACATAGGGGAATATCTTTTTTCATCTTTTTTTCATAACCAAAGGTTACCCTTTATGGTGAATGCCACAGCAAGTTGTAATAATGAGTGTTCTGCCTCCTAGGGAACACCCCAGCATAGCTAGATATTTGTCCAGTAATTCCCAGAGATATTTGAACTGGGGGCATTACATCCAATCACATTTCACTTTTTAGCTTTTAACTAAAACTTTTTTTTAAACGTTTAAGTAAAACACTTTTGCCTAAAAGAGAAAACAATAAAACAGAATTCCTAATTGGCTGCTGTGGAATAATGCAGTCATCTAGATACATTAAATACTATACAAGGATTTTACAAAACGTTTTGCTAAATCACCAACTGAGTAGTCTCAATATTATTAAAGAAAAAACAGACCCCGGTATTCCTTTCCCTATGCAGTTGTAGGAAGTTTCATAAAAAAATACTGCATTGCAAGAGATGCCTGCAATTTGACTTCAGGCTCTGTACAGACGTCTGGGGTGAAGCAGAATCACACAAGCAGAATATAAGATCTCTGTCGTGTACAAAATGCTTCTGGTTGCCATATTGTGCAAGAAAGCAATATTTAAAAAAATAAATAAATAAAGTTCAGTTTGAGAAACTGATTGCAACTGCAAATTTAGAAGGAATGGTGACTTTTAATAAATTACATTTAAAACAAATCACTGATTTAGCAGTCTCACATTTTTTTTTCTCGAGTGAAGTTTTCCTTTAATAAAGCCTTTAGACTTGGTGCCAGCCATTTTAGGCTGTTTAAAACAAATTTGCTTCTACTGGTTATTTCACATCACAGACGTATGCCTTGTGGGGTTAAATTAAAACAGGTCTAAATTAAGTTTTATGAAGACATTTGCCTCAGTGCCAGAATCTCAGCTGCTCTTTCCATCAGCAAAGCTTTTCCCGGAGCTGGAATAATTTACTGTTGCTAATAATCTTCTGAAAATTAGTATTTGTTGACATGCATTTTTTTTTTTTCATCTTCCCCTCCCCAGTTTATTTCAGTCAGCAGTCGCTGTGCCTCCAAGCCGGTGACATCCGGTGATGCCAGGAGCACCGATGGAGATTATCGCTGTGCAGATCTCCTTAGAATCTGCTGTGGGCACAGAGCCGTGACAGGCCTTGGCTGGAGCCAGAGCTGATCCTGAACCATGACTGAGGCCTGCGTTTTATTTTTATATCAGCCATGCTCTAAGCCAAATAAAATGGAAGCTAATAAAAATAAAGATGTCGAGCAATGTCACGAGCTTATACTAAATCCACGCCAAAGCAAAAAGATTGTGATGGGTGCCTGTATTCACAGGGTGCAGGACAATGCAGGCTCCTGTGGCCTACTGAAAGGCCTTTTTCTTGGTAGTAGTACAATAGGAAATATTTTGCATGTTAGTGAATGGGATTTGATCGCACTACAGGAGGGCTTGCATTTGCGGTGTTTGAGGATCCTTCCATGGATTCAGGATGGTTGTAATCCATACAAAGCAATCTTAAACTGGAATTAAACCTGAAAACAAAATGCTGATAGGTAGTATTTTAATGACAAAAGAGACCTTATCCATGTGACAAAGAGACAATGCAGAAGCACATCTGGAAGACAGAGCTTTGCCACCTATAACTGGAAGTGCCGGAACTAGGGTCTTTAAGGCTGGATCACCTGGCATTCCTATAAATAAAGCTGCAAATTTAAAAATGTTGAAAATAACTTGTGAAATGACATCAATATGTTAAAGCTTATATAAGATTTTGGTGATTGGGTTAAATATACTCTAATTCATCAATGTACCAGTAAAGTGCTGGGTCTCCACTTTCTGTCCTACACAGCGAAGTGATGTAATATTGACCCGTAATAATCAGATCTGAATTTCTTTTGTTTACAAATGTTTTTATTGAAAGTTAAACTACAAAACTGCACATTATACATGAGGTAGGATAAACCATGAGAAGAAGGCACATACAAGAAAATAATGTTTACAGTGAAATAAAGATATTTACGAAAAAATTAAAGATCAAGTACATGAATGAGGTAGTCCACAATGTTGGCAGATTAACAGCATAACTGACAAAGAATCAAAGAGAAACAATGGTTTTGCAGAAATGTAATCTATCATTAAGTGCCGATGCATCTTCCAACCAGGGCGGACTGACAGCTCATGGGGCGCCCGGGCAATAGGGGATCATGGGGCCCCTGTGTCCTTGCCCAAACTCAAAAAAGCCTATGAAAAAGGTACCAGGGGCATCTCATGGGGCCCCCCCTACTGACCCCGGGCCCTCGGGCAGTGCCTGAGTTTCCAAATGGTCAGTCCCCCCCTGCTTCCAACCATCCCATTTGTTGTTGAATAAATGCATCCTGTCCAGTAATGTGTACTGAATACGTTCCATAAGCATGACCATATTGACTCTCCGTAGTACCAAGGCCAGAGGGACTAATGGGGACTTCCAATGAAGGGCAATGGCCCATAGGGTGGAGACACAAGTAGTATGGATTTAGCCTATCAGATCTGAATTTCAATACTGTGTACACCTGAGCCGAGATCATTGTGTCTCTACAGTGCCATACATTTATTCTATTCGTGGTGAAATGTTAATGTTTTCTCCCTGAAAAATTATAGAAGAAATATGTGTTAAAAAAATCAGGAGACTTGGGGCTTTCTGCCATCTGTAATGGTATCTCCATCTGTCCATCCCGTGCTGCATTTTTGCAATTCCAGGCCTGGTTATTATAATATTGATCACGCATTGTTTGCTGGCATTTTACAACAATTACATTACAGATATAACATGACCACATCCATCTATTATAACTCTATTATGGTATATCTAGAAGGAAGTCATGTCATTGCTAGTATTTTAAGAGTGGTGCCTCCAAACGTATATGAAATGCCCTGTGTCATATAGTAAGCTCCCCTGTGCACTTCAATAATTCTCCGCATTGTTATAACATTCTTGTTACTCTTAAAAAAAATAAATGAACCGATTAAATAAATGAACCCACAATACAAGGCCAGCAAATCCTGAACTCTGCCACGCCACTGCTTCATCCTGTGCTGCCATCTTTGTTTTATTAACAGTAGCCAGCTGTGTCTTCTGGTTTCTTGCACACAGCCTCTTGATGATGCTGTGCCAGATAAATAATGATGTCTTTTAACATGTCATTTCAGAAGTTCAAGTTTTATTTTACATCTGCAGCTTTCATTACCTGACCAAGTAATATGTGGTGATCCTGCCATGAAAGTCCTTGTTCAGGCTCTTCCTGTGATAGGGTGACACCTGTCTCCAAATTGTGCTCCTAGTCAATAACGTCCTACAGCTGGCCACCTCATGCAAAATCAAAATCCTTCACTCAATTTTTTTGGGAGTGCCTCTGCCACACAGCAGTTTTTAGGGAATTTTTTTTATCCCAAATATCCGTGTGACTGAATATATGAGTTACAGACTCTCATTAAATGATCTAATTACAAGAAATTCTAATCTGAGAAGCTGGGCTGAATATTTTAAACCTATTAGAGACCAGAATGTCAACTATTCATTCTGCGGGGAATGTCTTTGTGTGTACCTAGACTACGCCCACTTTTATGTCGTGATTCACTTGGAAAAAGTTCTTTGTGGCAGTGCTTAACTGGAATTAAGCTTAGTAATTGTATTGAGCGGTGTTACATGTGCTTTAGGCTCAGTAGTTTCAGACTATATTTGCTTGCACATGTCACGTTCAGTAAACATGCTGCTCCAGTCACATAAGCATTCTACAGTGTTCATTAAATGAATGTTGACAGGAAGTGTGTTTTACTTTATGGTTGTCAATGAAATACGTGATCATTTTTCATAATACAAACAATATTGGCCCCAAGCCCCATTCTTCTAGTCTTTACCCATAGTGAAACCTGTTCTTAAAGCGGAGCTCCACCCAAAAGGGGAAGTTCCGCGTTAGTCCTTTGTCCCCAGCTCCCCATTAAGGATTGACACCTTTGGGGAGCAGGTACCCAAATTTGACAGGTACCCGCTTCCACTTATGCTGCAATCGCCTAGGCGATCGGAAGCGGAAGTTGTCCTCCCCCCCTCCCTCCCTGTAGTCTTTTGGGACACATGACAGGTCCCAGAAGACTATGGGGCCATTCACAAAGCACAGCGCTTCTCACACATGCACAGTGGCACGTGGCTGTGAAGCTGCAAGCTGTCACAGCCGGGTGCCCACACTGAAGATGCTGGCGCCAGGGAGAGAAGACGGCCGGTGAAACCAGAAGCCGTGAGGACACCGATGGACCGAGGGACAGGTAAGTGTCTGTATTTTAAAAGTTAGCAGCTACAGTTTTTGTAGCTGCTGACTTTTTATTATTTTTTTTTTTTCAGGTAGAACTCCACTTTAAAGAAAATCTAGAATGATAGTTTTTTTGTTACAGTTCCGTCTCTTATGGGACAAACTACATGCACTTTGGTTCATGTTTCTCGGGACTTTCAAATCTTACTCATAAAGTTCAACCTGCCCCCTTCCCCTTTTGCAACAGCAGATCCAACAACAACTTTGAAAGAGACGGCTGATTCATGAGTGCAGCTTGTCTTGGCTGTGAGCACTTTCCACAGACAAGCAGCGGCAAGACGAATGCAGTCTGATGCATCCTCCCTCCCTCTGCATTCTGCTTGCCATTGCTTATCTTGGTAAAGTGCTTCAAGCCTAAGCTGCACTTATGAATCAGCCATCTCCTCCAAAATTGTTGTCAGATCGGTTGCAGCAGGAGGGGGGGGGCAGATCAGACCCCATAACTAGGGTCAGAAAGCACTTAGCAACATGGGACAAAGTGCTACATGTACAGGACTGTAACAAAAGAAAAAAGTTATAATGATAGATCTTCTTTAAGGCTAGGTTCACATCTGTGTGGGTGGTGTCACTGTGGGAATTGCACAAATTTCAACAGCTGCAACCACCCATCATTAATCGTAATGACATGCTGCCCACACTGTTCCTGTGTGGGCTGCGATTTCCAAAGTAGTTCAGGGACTTCTTTCCTGTGTGTCAGGATGCATGGTAGCCCAAATGAGTGGACTCTTGTGCCCACACAAGCCGCAGCCCGCACAGTCGCATAAATATGAACCTAGCCTAAAGTAAACATGATCACTATAATTTCAAATATAGCATATACATATATATATATATATATATATATATATAAAAATAAAATCAAAAGTAATTTTTTTTTATTTTTTTAAATCTAAAACTTTCATAAAAATCTAAATTTCATTACTCCTACAGTGGAGGTCCTTGTGTAGGCACCTCCTGTTCTAGGTTGCCAACACTGTGTTTCTGTTTTTTTTCCCAAAGCCTTTTTTTGTTTTTCTTCTGGGAAACATTGGGAAAAAAGTGTGGAATTTGTTCTTTTAAAATAATGTATATATGACATGCTATTCAAACTATATAGCATGAAGACATTAATAAATGATTTCTGAGACTTTATGTAAAGTCTGAAATTATTGCAAATTCTCTCAGCTGAAGACAAGCAAATCCTGGAATGCAATTCAAGTAACACTGTACTTCTCAATGCAGTTCTCAAACAAGAGAAATATGCATTTCTGCCACTAGGGGGCACATCAGGGGAAAGGCTCCAGTTTAGTTTGCTTGTGGGATCCATCTTGTACCTTTTACAGTTGGGTGATTGTTGGGATACAGTAGATGATAGTTTCTGTCCTCTCAAGCCTTAATTAACAGGCAAGAAGGTAAATTTGTCTGACAAATTAGTTTATCTTTATAACGTTTGAATGATTCCTATGAATGTTCTGCATCATCACAGCACAATGTTTACTTAATTCTGGTCAGTAAATTGTTTTTTCTTTTCATCCTCTCAGTAAATTGGAGAGATCAACATCTAGAGTTTGGAAACATTTCCACAGTGCAATTTCTTCTGAGAGCAAAGCTGCAGTTTGCAAATATTGTGAGAAGAAATATTCTTTTCCAAATGCTACAAGAATGACAAAACACATCCTTGCATGACAGAAGTGCCCTAAAGACATTAAAAATACTTTATGGAATTAAATGATGAGGACCATAATGAAAGTACAAGTAGTTTTCCCCCCAGAGTTCTCATTCTAGAAACACTCTTTCTACTTCTTTTGGATCATTACAAATTTTATTTTACTAATTTATTGAATAAGCTGTACTTTTATTTCAAGAATAATACCTTTTCACTTTCCCAGCATAAAAAAATGATTTTCAATTTGTAAAACTACTCCAGACTGAATTTTATTTAATTTTCCCCGAAAATTTCCATTGTTTCCAGGAAAAAAAAAAACGGGGAAAAACGTTCTTTTCCCATGACTTTTAACATTTCCAGAAATTTTACATGTGCAGCCGCACCACCCACACAGAGAAATGCGAACCCACGGGCAGGTGCTATTAGTTCTAATGGCATGCCACCCGCAATGGAAAACGCAACCGTATTGGGAACCGAGGTTCCCGTGCGGGCTGCGTTTTCCAAAGAAGTGCAGGGACTTCTTCCCTGCGTGGCACGGGCATGGGAGTCCATTCAAATGAATGGGCTCTCGTGCCCGTGCAAAACGCGGCCCGCAGGCCGCATAAATATGAACCGGGTCTTAATCAACAATGTAGACACCGTTTTCCTCTCCGTTATTGTGAATGCCAGCTGGGAATGGGCTGGAAATTTCCATATCAGCAGATCTGCTTTCCAGTCTCTGTTGTTCTGGAAAGGAGAACTGGTCAAAAATGAACATACAGAGTGTAAATAATACAATTTCACTTTGTGTGCTTTATATGTTTGCATAGCTCAACACTATTTATTGTATGAACGTGGCTCACAAGCTGAAGGTTGGGTCCCCTCCTGCACACGTACGTGTCTGAAATAGTCACATTTGTAAACACACCCCAGTAAGCAGTGCCTGCATTAGAAGTGAACCCCGGTGTCATTTCACATGTGTTGAACAGCAGCTTTTTCTGTGAACTATAAAACCACGAGGCTTCAAGGAGAATGTATTGAAAATGAACCTGTGCTTTGTCCATGCAGTACATGGTAACAGCTTTTCTCCAACCCTGGCAGCACATACTTGTCTTTCTTTCACTGCATTCAGCTGCTAGCAATAAAGGCTTAACTATTCGCCAAAGTTGTATCTTAACCTATCTATACACTGCTCGAATTTCCACAGATTCCTGCCAAATCGCCGAAAGTTCACTCCGTGGGAGGCCCTGTTGGCCCACAGGGCTGAACAAGAGAAAGACGAGATGTGTATGGCCATCTGTAAACAGGGCTGTGGACTTCCTGTCTGACGAGAATCATGAAGAGCTCGCTCACACCATACGTGCAGAAAAACTGACACGCAGATTTCAATTGCAGTGACATCAGTTTTCATGCGAGCTGCAATGAGTTTTATACATGTTGCAGAAAAAATCAGCACGTGATACTAGTGTTCTGGTGTGAACAGGGCACATAGAGAACAATTGATTTTGTTGTGCCCTTGAAGAACGCATGCAGATAAACTGACATTGCTGCACCATGATGTGAACAAGCCCTTACAGGGAGTCGCATGCTCCTCCATACCTGGAAGTACTGAGTGTATACTTAAGCTGATGGTGTTAAAGGGAACTGCAGGGACTGAGCATACACATTATGGTCGAGGGGGGGGGGGGTTAAACCAAACCTATTGATTTGTCATGAATGGGGAGAACACAGATTTGCTTTAAAATTTGTATTTCCTTAGATAAACTACTTTTCATAAAACATCTTTGGATAAAGCTGGCCATACACACATAGATTCCTCTTGTTCATCCTGTGAGCAAAGTGAAATAAATCCAATAGATTCCTTCATCCACACTAATCAGTGTGGATGGAGGAATCCCACCTGCAACTTGTGCTGGCTGTCGAATACTTGAACAGCTACTGCAGCTGAATGGTTGCAGTGACTGTTCGGCTGACAAAATCCATCCTCAGATCAAAGTATGACAAGCCGGGTAGTGCCAGCTGGGCCTTCTATGGATCATTTTTTGGCCACTTCAGTAAAAAACGGATGAAATTTGATCCATGTAAGATGAAATATTATGCACTCCAAACTTCGCTCCTCTTCTGTATTTAATCAGTGTCAGCAAAGTGACCGTCTCCCCTGAAAACCAACCTTTTTTGACATGTTTTACCACTCCTGGCTTGCTCACAAGGGAAATCCACTGATCCATGTATTTTGTGGTTCAGAGTATTGAAGTATATGCCCGGGTTCACATATGTGCACTGCGGTATATCGCATGTGATTCGCACAGGAACCACACCGCATTCCTGTGCAAATCACATGCGATTTGCGTGCGGTGCGATTGGAGCCATACATTTTGTATGGCTCTGATCGCACCGCACCAAAAAAGTGCAGGACCCTTTTTTGGGTCCGCACTAGAAATCGGATCGCATAGGTATTCACACCTATGAGATCAGATTCTGCACATCGCACCGTGTTTTGCGGACCGCTTTCGGGGTGTTGTTAATTTAACATACACACCCGCAGCAGTTCGCATGAACGGGGTGCGATTCTGATGCGGTGCGGAATTTGCACTGAAAATGCTGCGATTTCCACACCGCATCAGTGTGAACCAGGGCTAAGGGTCAGCATGACAGCCAGGTAGTTATCATTTTAAGGATATGAAGTCAGCAACGGCAGCCACCACATTTCTTTCTAGACAAGTTTTCCTTAAATAAAAAAAAAATAATATTGTGATTCCCATTTTAGACTGGGATGGAAGGATTTCAGCTACAGCCATATTGCTATTGCCATAGTAAATGTTTCCAGCCAGATTTCCATCCCTTGAGGAACTATTCAATGCATTTCCCTTCTGATACTGTTTGTCTTAACCCAGCTGCATTTTGTGAGAATATAAAAAGAAGCTTATAAAAAAAATTGTATTTCTGCAGATGATGGGAAAAAAATGTCTAGTCTGCTGTCACTGATGGTAAAAGTAACCTTGATATTGTTTGGTGGGCTTCTGGTATAAGAAAACCAGCTACCCGTGTGAGATATTTTCCATCTACTTGCAGTTAGTTTGAATCCTTTACAGTAATGTTGGGTGAATCGCTCCGTCTGTCCTTTTCTTGTGATGACTTTTATCAGTTTCAGTAACCTTATCAGAATCATTTTATTTTACACCATCACCCCACATATATACAGTTCTGATATGCAGGGGATAAGGAGTGGAGAGTCAGCTGGAGGTGTATTGGGTTTACTTGCTGGCTTAAAGATTCTGATTGACGTGGTTGGGTTGGTGACATGTAAGCCACAACAAATATATAATGTGGAAATTACGCATTTAGACATCTAACAGTATTTATTTAATAAAACCAGATCTGATTGAGTGCATTCATTGTCAGAATAATTAGTATTTGGTGATTTTTTTTTTGCCTCATTCTTTACTAAATATATGTTCTTTCTGTCTTTTAGAAAATGCTTATGAAACAACAGGACCCGCCTAGAGGAGCGGGAACAAGACATTGAAGACCAACTGTACAAACTGGAATCTGACAAGAGACTAGTGGAGGTCAGTACAAGAGGCAGCCATTTTAACTCTGCAGTCTGTCAGTTCTTAGGATCATAATTATTTCTTTAAGTGATGAATGCAAAGTATACTTATTACGTTTTTGACATGCACCAACTCAAGATTTGTCTCATAAAATTTCAAAGTGAACTCATTAGGTCCTAAAATGTGTCTAAATTAATAATGCTAAAGCAGAACTAAACAATGGATTTAACGGTTTCCCAAAACAGTTCCATTCAAGGCATGCTGTAAAAGGTAACTCTCTCATTTGATTGTGATCTCCACCAATTTGTCAGACCATCAAATGGCTGGTGTCATAACTGATGGCAGCTTCCTTGGCTGTAACCCCCGGTTCACATCTATTCGGCCGTGTGGGCCGCGTTTTGCACGGACACGAGAGCCCATTCATTTGAATGGACTCACGTGCCTGTGATACGCAGGGAAAGACGTCTCTGCACTTCTTCCGAAAACACAGCCCACACGCGAACCTTGGTTCCTAGTACGGTTGTGTTTTTCAGTGCAGGCAGCGTTCCATTAGAATTAATGGCACCCGCCCACGGGTCCGCATTTCTCTGTGCGGGTGGTGTGGCTGCACGGATTTTTATGCGGATCCACAGTGGCACCACCCGCACAGATGTGAGCGAAGCATAAAGGAGAGGAGAGTTTAGTTCTGCTGTAAGTAGCTAAATACACAATGGAACTAAGTTTACAGGAACTGGTTTTAAAGAAGGAACTGGTTTACCTGCCAAATAATTTATAATTTCGTGCACCCAGTCTTGTGATCTACTGTCAGCCAGCACAGCCAGATCCTCGAACTCCACTGCAGGAGTGGCACAGTATCATGGTCAAGGACACACCCCACGCTGTGATTAGACTGTGGAAGAGCAGAAGTACACCGATGAGAACTCAGCATGATCGACTTTTATGCAGTCCATACATGGGTCAAATTCCAAATGAATTTTCTTTATAAAACTGGACATTTTGTGTGTTTTGTATTCCAATGGTGCCACCATTGATTTCAAAATTCAACCAACCAACCCTTCAATTTCTCCTCATGTTGCTTCAGAAAATAATTTTTGTGGCCAAGAATTTTCTTTTCTTTCCAGATCACAGCTATATATTTATTGCACGATTCTCGCAGCATTGATTTGAAATTCGTTCATTTTTTAAAAAAATTTCCAACATGCCCGATCAATCAAATTCAATGGTCACACAAAAAATCGTCCGTTTCTGTGACCCACTAATTTTAGATTTTAGAAAGAAAATTATTTTGGAATTCTACCCCTGTATGGCTGGCTTTAGCCCTGGCTTGCTCTCTCTCAGCTATGCAAGAGATTTTAGAAGTCTAATAGCAAGACATGTACTTGCACCAGTTTTGTTTAAAAATATGTTTAAAGCTGAAGTGTGGAAAAACATTTTTGGGGCATTAACTAGGTACCAACAAGGTAGATCTAATAATGTGTGCCCCACAGGTGGCCGCTGCTTCTTTCTTGAAAAATGCTAAATACTTTTTCTCATCAGCAGTTAGAGCAGTCTTGTGATTTCTATCAGTGTCCAGCTGAGCACTGGTTAAAGCTTGTAGGAGGAGATTTCATTCTGCTATAAGAGGATATAGGACCCCTGACCATCTGTCTGGACAGCACTGATTGGCCTTGTGCTGACCACATGCACTCTCCCAAGAAAAAACCCTCTCTAGCAATACACAATAAACTGAACATGTGCAGAGTGACTCCACACGATATGTCTGATTAGGAAATAAGAGGGGGACACTGGAAGAAGGGGAGGATCAGAGAAGTCAGGATCAAGCAGTGTTTTTGCACAATGCAAAGGATTAACCCCTTAGGTTCCACAGTGAGTATAACAAGCATGCTTTACTGCATATACAGACTGATTTTACTGTTGTGGGTTTAGTAATAGTATAGTAATACAAAACATCCCAATCGCATGTGATCATTTTTGCACCAAAAATGAAAAGGGTTTTCGTGATCTGAGTATGGACTCCTCTGCATATATTGCATAAAAATGCAAGTTGTCAATTTTATTTTATTATTATTCCTGTTACTGTTTTTATCTTCTGCATCATTTTGATCTTCTGTCACCTTCATCCATAATTGACAGTGGTTTCAGCATTAGCCTATTATCTCTTGGAACAGAAATGGGGAGTCAGCAAATGTGCTATGTAAATGAATGTGAATTGGGGAAAATGCAATTCATTTGAGCTGTCACTTTGAAGCTCGTCTTCTTATTAATGTCTGGAGAACTCCAACTTTGACCATACTTTCCATTACAGCCTCCAAAATCATTTATTGTAAGATTCTGGCCATTCTGTGTAGGCTTTGGCATGGGTGAGAAGTTGCATAGAGGGCAGTACTTTAGAAGCAGCTGTACTGTAAATTTACCCCCCCCCCCCCCCCCCGGACGGCCCATCCCATCTAGCTACGAATGCATCAGTATAAAAAAATATGACCTCCTTTTATGTAAGTTTTGTATGCTAGTGCTTAGTAGGGTCATTAAAAGCTATGAACTCACAAGTGCACCTTTATTTTAAAGTGTATCTAAAGCCACAAATCATTATTTGCTTTTGTTTTAGGGCCCATTCACACCTATGAGTTTTACCGCACAATAATGCATGTCCTGAGGTGTTCCATTGTTTTTAACGGTTCTACTTTACATTTGTGCAATGCTGTAATGTACCACATCAATGCATGACGTGCTGAAAGCAATACAAAAACACAGGAAAACACAAGGGTGCGAATCTGGCATTATATGTACCTGGTGATCCTGCCAGTAATAGAATCCCCAGAAGCTTTTTGTCATAGGTTCACAACATTCCCTAAGGGGCTCCCTAAGCAGGAGCAGCATTGTCACCTAGGATGCATGCTCCTTCTGTGGACTACAAGTTGACATGCTAACACAGCGCACCAGCACATACCAGCTATTGACAAGGCATGCCTTGAATGGGTGGGGGGCAAGGCATCTTGGAACATGTAATCCAAGATAACCTGGCCACTTCATTAGAAAGAGATGTGTACTGGCATTGTGGTCATAAGGAGCAAAACGTATGTGCACAGAGGTCAGAAGCCACATTTAAAGCGGAGCTCCACCCAAAAGGGGAAGTTTCGCTTTAAGCCTTTGTCCCCCACTCACCATTAAGGATTGACACCTTTGGGGGGGTACGCGAATCTGACAGGTACCCGCTCCCACATCCATGCGATTGCCTAGGCGTTTGGAAGCATAAATCATCCTCCCCCCCCCCCCTCCTGCCAGTAGTCTTCTGGGACACGTGACCGGTCCCAGAAGACTACGGGGCCATTCACAAAGCGCAGTGCTTCTTGCGCATGAGCAGTGAGCACCTGGCAGTGAAGCCACAAGCTGTCATAGCCGGGTGCCCACAATGAAAATGCTGGCGCCAGGGAGAGAAGACGGCCGGTGAAACCAGCGGTGGTGAGGACACTGCTGGACCGAGGGACAGGTAAGTGGCTGTATATTTAAACTCAGCAGCTACAGTTTTTGTAGCTGCTGACTTTTATTTATTTTTTTTTAGCTGGAACTCCGCTTTAGGATAATATAAGCAACACAACTTGTAGTGGTACAAAGTACCAGTAAAAATTTTTTAGAAGGATTTAGCTGTACTTTAACGTGTTGGAGTAAAATTAGAAATATCATATTTAGTACATCTCTGCAATGCATGCATATTTTCTCTGTTTTATCGATTTAAAGAGCCTGCAAGAACAGAATTGTATCTGCTGATATGCCAAAAATGCACACCCAATTTCCTGTTGTGGGCTGATGACAAACATCATATTGAGGGCTGAAGTTGCAAAAAGTGGAGTCAGTCCTGCCCAGTTGTTATTTGCTAAACTACCAGATCCCCCCCCCCCCCCCCACTCTCCTCATATAGACAACATACAGAGTAATTGTCCTGTAGTCCAATATAAGAACTGGGAAGGAAATAACACAGGACGTGTTTACAGGACCACTCTGAATTTCAGATAAGATACGCCTATACTTTTTTTTTATCATTGAGTGGGACTGAGTAGGAGAACACCTAAGAAGAGATATTATAATCTCTGCGGTCCTCAGCTTTGTGATAGGCAAATGTTGGTTAGTAATATCCCCTGCTTTTCTATTTTAGTCTCAGAATAATGTGTAGTCCTAAACCTCTCATTACAGCGGGTATAGAAAAGAATCGCCCCCCCCCCCCTTTAAAATAATCACATTTTGTTGCTTTTCAGCCTGAAATGAAGACAGATACAGTTTTTGTTTTATCCAGCTGTATTTAATCAGTGCACCTTATAACATCCATGTGAAAGATATATCACCAACATGTTAGAAAAAATAAAAAACAAAATCAGCTGGGAGCTGGAAAAAGAATCACTCCCCCCTCCTAAAAATGACTTGTAAACTCAATTAGGTGTACCTAATCACTTTCTTATTTTTGTAAAATCACATGAAAACCCAAAAGAAAAAGGGTTAGCTCAGATAAAGAAATACATATTTACAATTCATTTCAGATTTAGGTGCTATTATTATTTAAAGAACCTCCTTTAAAGTGGACAAAATTTAAGTCGTCCATGACTGATATTTTATTTTTGGTAGATGAAGGAGAGTTATGCTACTAGTTTATGGGTGAGATCTTCTGTGTTTGAATTTCCGGTTCTGCACACCTGTGGTGACCATAATCCTTCAAGTCCCTCTGGTGGTTTTTTTTTTTTATTATGGAATGCAACAGGAGATGCTAGAATTCTCAAAGGTGGGTGGAAACACCCAAATTTTCTTGGTGGATGGGAACGATGGGAAATATGGCAGGGAGATCCTAATGTTGGTGTCCAAGAAATGTAAGAATCCAGGGGTTGACTTGGGCCCCAAGCTTAGCCTATAACTTAAGTATCACTTTTGGGTAGAGTGGCCCTTTCATTTTGTGGTTGTTTGATAGTTGTGGTTGTTGGATGGTTGTTGGCTAGACTATACATTTCAAGCTCAGTGTTGGTGTCCAAGAAATATAAGAATCCAGGGGTTGACTTGGTTCATCAGACTCTACCTATGATTTTAGTCCTCATGCACACAGGACAAACACCCTCCTAGAAGTCGTCTTCCTGGCAGCAGCGATTTGCAGAAAAAATGCCTGATGCTTGTAAAAGATTTTAACGCTTTTTTCAAGTGTTTAGGCGCGTTTACAAGCATCAAGCGCTTGGGAGTTAACTCGTTTAATCGGCCAGAATAATAATTTATTCTGGCCATTGAAATAAATTAACGCTCAAGCTCTAAATGCATCTAAAGTTAACATGCGATTAGACGCATATACACGCATCAATCATTTTTTCTGCCAAAACACTGCTGCTGAAGGAACTGGCCCAGCTTTTTTTTTTTGTGCCTGTAAACGCTCATGGACACATAGGATAATATGGAGGGCCGTTTATAAGCAGTAAAAAAAAATGCATGGCGCCCCTAAAAGTGGCTGCAAAAAATGCCCTGTGTGCATGAGGCCTTAGTATTACTTAGGGGTGGACTGTGGACTGAGCCTTTCATTTTGTTGTGGATGAATGGTTTTTGGGCAGACCATACATTTCAGCATCAGTGTTGGTGTCCAAGAAATGTAAGAATTCAGGGGTTGGCTTGGCCCACCAAACTCTACCTATAACTTTAGTATCACGTTTGGGTGGACTGTGGACTGGGCCTTTCATTTTGTTGTGGATGAATGGTTTTTGGGCAGACCATACATTTCAGCCTCAGTGTTGGTGTCCATGAAATATAAGAATTCAGGGGCTGGCTTGGCCACCAAACTCAACCCTTAACTTTAGTATCACGTTTGGGTGGACTGTGGACTGTGCCTTTCATTTTGTTGTGGATGAATGGTTTTTGGGCAGACCATACATTTCAGCCTCAGTGTTGGTGTCCATGAAATATAAGAATTCAGGGGTTGGCTTGGCCCACCAAACTCTACCTATAACTTTAGTATCACGTTTGGTGGGAATGTGGACTGGGCCTTTCATTTCCCTTCTCTTTAAAGATATGCTGCACTGGCAATTCTTGCCTGAGCACAACCACAGGACAGAACGTTTCATTACTGTCCCATGATAGATGATGCTCTTCACAGGAAATGTAAATGAAAGTGACCTGCTGTACAGGTTGCTGTCAGGTGTAAAATTTAGCACAATGCTACAGCTATTTCTGTGGCCCACAGGATCCCATGAGCTTTGTGGCAGCTGATTAAGCTTCATGGTTCAATAATTTAGCTTCTTATATCACCTCTATCTCCAGTCTTCTCATTGGACAGTGAATCAGCATAATCTCCTCTATTCCATACATAGGGCGCTAACTTGGGAGCAGCGATGTTAATCATGGAAGCAGTAGAGTGACCAGCAAGGGTATTGTGTATCACAAGAGTGACTAGACTTACAAATCCTTCGGCAGCGAAAGCAGTAAATACATATACTTTGCCTTACATTTAGCTGTTTGCCAGGAGTTTCACTTAAACTTACATGAAATACAAGTGCTGTGAGCAGCCATAAAAGAGCATTGGTAATTGTGGGTTTGCAAAGTATCACATTTGAAAATGGCCCGCATCACTTCCTTGTACTTCTCTGCTATACTAGGGGATAATGCATTTATCATCCTTGGTGTGTGTCTTTAATAGCATTTGAAGTTTGTGAACAATAATAATTGTGAAGATAGGATAACATTAGGCAACCGGTCCCCGTGGGTCCCCTGACTGCCATTGTATCAGCAGACTACATACCGCAAACTGCTGCACCATGTGCATTGTTCTACACATAGCATTCTTAAGACTGCTGAACCCCCTGCACTGTATGGTACATCCGTAACAACTGGATATTTCACCCCGCTCAACAAATTGGGACACTTTTTCTAGTGTTCCTTTTATTCAAGGCATATATATGATAGCTTTTGTAGGTAATTAGATACGTTCAGTGTCTTTCCTGGTTGAGAACCTTTGCAACTCGTGAGTTTGTAATTAAAAGGATTAGTTGGCAACCCTTCATATATATGGGCATCTCTGTGGTTAGCAGCATATTGCACACAGTGGATGGAGTTGGCGATTAAGGTGGAAAAGAGCCCAACTAAGCCCATGTCTAATGCTCAGTGAACTTGTGGTTTCTACTCAAAGGCTTTTATTATGTAACACTGTAAGTACAGGTCTGCATGGCTTCACAGGTCCATGGACCTTTTCTAAAACAAATATGTTATGTCTGTGCAATTAAATATTCAATTAAGCATTACAGACATACATAAAAAGGTCATAATGTAATGAAACAAGGGAATGTAGCCAACGTAGGTTTCAGCCAATGCAGCCATTCCACAAAATCGTGTAACTAGAAGAACAAAGCTCTTTTTATTATAACTGTCTCTGATCTATGATCAGCCTGCTCACTGCAGAGGCTAGGCTCACTATATTGTACACAGGGAATTTGCACACAACAGGTGTCATGCTGGCATGTGTGTGGATAAACTAGGCCTCATCCACACACACAGATGGCATGACAGACTGCAGTGTGTCACTCATCCCGTCTGTGTCTAAAGGACAGAGCGCTAATCTGGGTGACTGCCTCTTATGAGCACCAGCAAACTGGACAGAAATAATAATTCAGGCAAGCTATATTGCTTGCATTTTAATTTAAAAGAAAAGCTTCCAAACTGTTATCCCAAGAGTGGCTATGTATCTTAAATCAGCAAGCAATCATGCCTCATTGACTGCCAGTTTAGGAAGCAAGGGCTAAGTACTAGGATTTGTAAATAATAATCATTATGAAACATAGTATATCACTATCATGTAATCCCCAAAAACTAAACTCTCTTCTTTGTTCCCTTTTGGTCTGTTAAATGTATCAATAAAAGTGTTTTGGTATATTGGTTAATTAAATAATACAAATATATATGTATTGTGCTCCTAAAAGAAATCTTGTGAGCTGATAACTTCTTGCGCTCTTTGCCTCGACTGTTATCAGTTAGCCTTCTCAGTTCTGTCTGTGATCTACAGAACACTTCACCCATATGTTCTGGAAAAGAGATGAGGGTAAAGGTGTACCCCTGTTTTTGGGTGAAAATGCTGCTCCTCCATAGAAGCGTCATTGTGAGTGGGTTTTGTCGCCCAAGGACAGGAATTGAATTATTGGCAGGATCATCAGTTGAAAGTAAAGGGAAAAAAAACTTTAAACATAAAACTAATGAAGCCACCATATCTAAGGACTAGTAAGTTACAATATATTAAAGGTTTGTTGTTGACATTAGATTAGCTTTAAAGTGTAGAGATATCAAGCTTGGTTCATCAGTCTGCCATGGCAGTTATAGCATGTAAGAACAGACCCTCAAACAATATAACTGCTTGTGATAATATTGTTGTATTCATCAAAGAGTGAAACATTTCAAGCATTAACTGGGTTTTTTGGCAGTGGCTTTAAAGTGTATGCCTGGGGGAAGACATTCAGTACATCTCTGCAATACATGTGCATCATGCTTTGTCTTTTTAAAAATGCTGCAAGCACAGAAAAAACATGTTGATCCTGCCAAAAATCTAGTAATGCCCTGACCTTCTATAGTGAGCTGATAGTACTTCTTCTGCTGCAGTGAAATCTAAAGCTGTTTTGTTAGTATTGCCTGAGCTCTCCCTGATAAACTACAGAACAGCCTCCATGCTATGAAGATGAGATTAGTGTTCTGTAGTGAGGTAGAAGAGAACTGATCAGGCCTGCCAACACTACTTAGGATTTCAAAGCAGTGTTGTCAGCTCCTTGGGACGTGACCCCCTTGAGGTTTCCTATATCACAGTCTGAAATACCTTATTATGTGTAACATTCAATATGTTAGAATAAACACATATTCATAGGCAGAAAGACCACCTAACATTTATTGTGGCCCAATCTCCAGGTGTTTATGAAGTGCTGGACAAATCATACAGATAACAGGTATTCAGTTAGGGTGATAATTCCTATACTGTGCTTGGGTCTATAGAAGGATTAGTAGGGATAACGTACAGATACAAGTAGAGTAGAATAGTAGAAATACAAACATATGTCAATGTAGCCCTCATACAATCAAATCTCGCTTCCAGGTTGTTCAATATATGTTAAGTCAGCAGCATAAACTCAATAGTAACAGAAGATTTGTTTTCTTTCCAAGGAAAAGGTAAACCAGCTGAAGGATGAAGTCCGACAGCAATACGAGAGATTGCACCAGATTCTGGATGAAGACATGAGGAAAACCATGGATGTTCTGGATAAGGCTCAAGCCAAATTCTGCAATGAGAATGCAGCCCAGGTTCTTCAGCTAAATGAACGTATGCAAGAAGCCAAAAAGCTACTGAGCTCTGTACAGGTCATGTTTGACAAAACAGAGGACATCAACTTTATGAAGGTACGTGAGTGGCCATCTCATATTCTATGTTTTCCAAACTTTGCTGGGAAGCTTCAAGATTCATGATTTAATTATTACAATAAAGCCAGTCTTCATTAGTTCAGGAGCTACAAGTCTCATATCTCTCATCTGTGAAGACTGGACACCATTTTAAGGGGGGGAATTATTTCTGTACCCTGACTATGCTGTATAATAATGAGTAATGCAAAAATGGATGTTACAATACATTTTCTACAAAAACTATTGCTCTTGACCTCTGCAGAGATAGTCACATGACAAAATGTAGGATCACTGGTCACATGATCTCTGCTGAAAGAGAGGAGCAGACTGCAGGACAGCGCAGCTCTGCCTGACCTTCAGTCCGCTAAGCTCCTTTGGTTGAGGTCACATGATTAGATGCAGGCCTTTGGCGTTGTGACTGAAGAAGCCATTTTTTTAAGCAAAATAGATAGCTTGAGTCTTCTTTTTTTCCTTCTTTTTATGAGCAAAATGGTCAGGATGTTAGAAGGTTGTATTACAGTAACATCGGTGCTTTCATTTTATATGAGGACATGTAAAATAATATGTAAAAAGATTCAGCTGCATTGCACCACTATAACCTTTCCTATTGACTGTCTTTCTATTTTTTGTAGAATACAAAGTCTGTGAAAATCCTGATGGACAGGTAAGATTAGCATTTGCAATCAGTGTTCCGGTGTACTGCATGCGCTGTTTACTTGTGTTTCCTAGGTAGATTGCATTGTTTATTCTTAGTGATTGAGGACAGTGAGTGAGGGCAGAGGTCTACAGAAAGCATTTTCTAGCTAATATCCAAGTTCCATACAGCTATATAATGGATGGAGACTTGTGATGACTATATGCTTTGCAGGAATAGTATGGCCAGTACTCCACCATCCATTATACAAAAACAATAAACCATCTAGTATTAAATGTAATCTAAATTATATGTAGGTTTTTTGTGATTTAAGGTTGGGTTCACACTGATGCGGTGTGGAATTCTCAGCGGTTTCAGTGCGAATTCCACACCGCATCAGAATCGCACCCCATTCATGCGAACCGCTGCAGGTGTGTATGTTAACAACACCCCAAAATCGGTCCGCAAAATGCAGTGCGATGTGCAAAATCAGATCGCATGGGTGTGAATACCCATGCGATCCAATTCTAGCGTGGACCCAAAAAAGGGTCCTGCACCTTTTTGGCACGGGTGCAGTGTGATTTGAGCCATACAAAATGTATGGCTCCAATCGCACTGCACACAAATCACATGTGATTTGCACAGGAATGCGGTGTGGTTCCTGTACGAATCACATGCGAAATACTGAACCGCATATATGTGAACCCCACCTTAAAGCCATGCAAAGAGCAATAATGTTCAGTAGCCCAGGGTAAGCTTCTGACAGCTGCTATTTGATTGGATTCCATGGGCTACTGTGCAGCACCACTCTTTGTACTATAGGACAAGCCTGTCAAATTTTCTGCAGTCGTAGCTAAACGTGTTTAAACCTGCAAGTAAAAAAGAATAGATCAATGGTTTGCTGCAGGGTGCTATAGAGTCTGTGTTCTTATGTATTCGTGTATGGACATTTGAGTTTTGCTGCCTGCAGATGGCAAATGCAAATTTTCAAAAAAGTTTTTTTTTTTTAAAGGCATCTCAATAATTAACAGCTTTATCTATAAGACTTTATGGTTTGCCTATTTTTTTTCTGTGGCTGTAGGGGATACAATAAATCTTAGTTCCACCCAGAGAGGTAAATAATTTAACTGGAACCTTATCAAATATCTTTTAGGGGGCCTGTATGTAAATGTTTAAGGCTACTTCAATACTCTTGCTGGTATTAATAAATTCTTGGCCTTTGTGTCAGAAATGCTGCGCTACAATGACTTCAGTACTGACCACATGTCATAAGCCTCGGCACTTGGTTATATAATCTTTACTGAAGGGGGCAGTCAGCAAGACTGCACTCCTATCTTTCCATTAAGCAGAGATCATTTAACATTTGTTCAGTAATAAGAGGATCCTAAAGCAGTATTTTCTCCAGGAAAGGTAAGGATTTCTGCTCTTTTACTTATCCATCTCAAGACTGTTAGTATAGCTCGATAGTTTAAGCAAAATACATGTGTTGGAAGTTTCTCTCGGAAACAGCCATTCTGTGATTCATGGGTTGAATGCTATTTCTACAAGAGCAGGTCACTTTGGGATTTTGTCGAAAAGTTCCTGCTGAAAAACCAGCTTTCAATCAGCCGCTGCAGCCAATGGATGCAGCACTGATCATTGTATTCTGGCGCGGGAGGGGGGGAGGATCCCCGCTGTTAGGATACAGTAACGCAGAGGGGGAGATCCCTGCATCCACTTTGCAATCTGTGAGTATTACTTCGTTGAATCCACTAATTGAAAGAAAAAAAAAACTCACAGTGTATACCCAGCTTTAGATTCAGTACTACATGATGGATCCACTTAAATGTTTAAAAAATCTTTTGATGTGTAATTGATTTTTTTTCTAACACAATTAACTGTGTAGCTGTTTTCCATCGTATTGTATGTCTGACATTCTCTATAGTCAATGGCCAGCTGTCGTTTTATCTCTGCCTTCTGTACTAGCACCTTACACATATCTCATCTTCTATATAGATGCTTTTGAACATAAAATTAATTTTTTTAGTAGGCTTTTTATTTAATGCTTTTCAGTTATTATTTGTGTTAAGGTATAGCACTCCTTTAACAGTCCAACTTCAAAAAAGAAGAATAATTGTAAGGGGCTGATTTTTAAAGCAGCACTATGCTCTTACCATAGACATACAACTGCTTTAAAAAAATCTTCTACCACATTTCTAATGAACAACAGTGTGCTTTACAAAGGTATCATTGTCTTTTCTTGATTCATGATTGAAGCAAGAAAGCAAAGCCTCATTGACTCTACAGGGGAGGAAAGAGTGGCTGGAGAGGGAGAGCCAGTTCATATCACAAAGTGATATGCATTATACAGAGAACCCTTTGAAAAACACCGCAGCTTCCTTGTCACATTTTGCATTTTATGAACTTGGAAAGTGTGACTATGGCATAGATAGAATAAACACCGTGGTGTCCTGCTCATAGTAGAATACATTGCTTGGTTTAAATTGGTCTGGATATTGCTAAAAGCTGATGTTGTATACAATGTATTCCTGCAGGGCAGCGCACACACTTCATAGTAGTAATCTAGGCAGTTATATGTACTTAACCCACACAGCAGATAAGATTTTTTTTAAATGCACATATTTAGAATGGTGTGAAGTGATGGTGGAAAATGAGTGATTGTGGAAATAGTTTCAATGCGCCATATGATTTGCATAAGCTAAGTAATAGCATGATTTTGTTTCTGTTATGTGACAGGACTCAGAACTGTACTGGGGGAAGCCTTCCTCCACCGAAAATTGGGCATCTGAACTCCAAACTCTTTCTGACAGAAATTGCCAAGAAAGAGAAACAACTGAGAAAGATGCTGGAAGGTACTGTATAGTTCTCTTACTTACAGAAGGCCTTCTGATACAATCAAGAGACACTGGGCCGTGTTGTCAGATTTTATACCTTCATTGGTACAGAAGACTAAAAAAAAATGTAATAGGATGTTTCACGCAGCAGGCATTTAGTCCCTGTAGATAGTTGTCATTAATATAATATATAGTTTGAGTTTAGCGAGACTTTATACTTAGGCAAGTCAGGGCAAAGTGACAGGTTCTCTTAAAAGAACAACCCAGACTTGCTGATAATCATCTTCACTGCACTCCTTGCTGCTCCATTCATCTCTCAGGAGTCTTAACCTTGAGTAAGCTCTGTACCTGATGATATCAGAGATCACACAGAGTTAATACTTATTTCAATTAACCGCTCAGGCCTGAGAACTTTATACTGGAAGGAACTCATATACTCCCTCATATCTGGAAGCACTGGTACAGCAGAGGAATGGATCTGCAGGTGTATAGCAAATGTGAGTATCGGCAGGTGGGGGGTCTGCAGTGCTTTGGACTTTCATCCTTTAAATGGTTCTTTTAGATACCCCCTTCCCCATCCAGGTGTTACTAAAGATCCCTACTTTTAACATGAGCACGGAGTTTGCAGTATCATTCATCCTGCACATCTTTACCTAATGCAGTGACTGTAAGGGTTTTGGACAGTATCTTTTCCACAGCATTTAATTCACTTTTGAGCATATACTTTGACTGAGCTAGTAGTTGTCAGGTACATCTATTATGCTGTGGCATTATACACATAGCACAATTTACATATGGTATTCTGCAAATATTGCTACTGTGATGTACACGTATACGTTAAACAGCAAATGTTAGCTCTTGATTGTGTCCACATGTGGATGTAGTGTGTGTTGCTATACTATTTGTTTTCCTTTTCTGCTTAGGTCCATTCAGCACACCTGTGCCATTCCTGCAGAGCATTCCTATGTACGCATGCAATGTAAGCAGCTCAGGGGCAGAAAAGCGCAAGCATTCAACTGCATTCCCTGAAGGCAGCTTCCTTGACCCGGCACCAGGAACTGTAAGTGGCCAGTACATAAGCCAGGGTTCTTCCACTGGTGAGGGCCAGTCAACGCAACCCATGGTGCCTTGCAGCTCCACTCAACATATCGTAGGACTTCCCAGCGGCCCACAGCCGGTCCACTCCAACTCTGTCTTCAACCCCTCCCACTACCCAAATAGCTCCTCATCTCAACAGTCTGTCCTTTCCCAGTATGGAGGACGCAAGATCCTGGTCTGCTCTGTGGACAACTGTTATTGCTCCTCAGTGTCCAATCACAGTGGACACCAGCCGTATCCCAGGTCTGGCCACTTCCCATGGACAGTCTCTTCCCAGGAGTACTCTCATCCTCTTCCACCCACCCCATCTGTAACACAGTCTCTTCCAGGACTCGCTGTGAGAGAATGGATTGATGCTTCCCAGCAGCATGGCCGCCAAGATTTCTACAGGGTCTATGGGCAGCCAGCCACCAAGCACTATGTCACCAGTTAAGTCTTAGAGCAAGCTAGCCTTGATAAATATGCATTTCATAAAAAAAAGACACCCTCAACCTGGAACAGAATAACCCCAGCCTTGTTTAGCAGTGGATAACCTTTCCGCTCCTTGAATACAGCTACCATTGGATTGTTTCATAAGTTTTGCTTTTATTCCGATACATTTTTGGACTATGGTGTATGCCTTTTTCCCACCTGAAAAAAGACAGTGATTTCATTTTTTCCAGTGCTTTGAAGACTTCTGCTGATCTTTTATCATTTGTGCTAAATGACCCTTAAAGTTTTTTTTTTCTTTTGTGTGTGTTTTTATTTTTCAAATTAGTTCACTGTATTACTTTAGAAACAAACCGTCTCATGTGATAGGAGTTTTAAGTTAAAAGGCCACTTATCATATAGACACTGTTTTTCTTTTTTTCTGTTTTTCTTTTTGAAGATATGTGTAAATATACAAAGATTAGAAGAAAACGTGCAAGTGCACTGAAAAAGGGAACGGGGGTCATTTTTTCTCCCAGAAAATCCGCATGCTCCTGTGAAGCTTTTCAATCATGCAGTAATGGACTTTCTACTCAACTGGAGCACTGAACTGCATGTTCTAACTTTGAACAGTAGAGGAATATAAATATTTCTCTGTTCTGCTCCTTTACTTGAAGCCTACCCTATCAAATAAGACTATATTTTTTAATACATTGGAAATTAAAATTGCAGGGACAGGGGCAGATGCGTTAAGATACATGTTGTACATAAAGGAAGAAGAAATACAGGGTAATTTTTTTTAACTTTTAATCCTATATGTAACTCTTTAAAATCAGTAAAATGGTTAAAAAAATAATAAAAAAAAAAATCTTCAGTATACAGTCTCATGGACCAAGGTTATAAAGTATATATACATACATGAATTTGTAGGCCCACATGGTAAATGGTCTTTTAGCTTAAAAATAATCTTAAACTTTTTGTTTATTTTTTTTAACATTCCAAATACATGTTAAAAAAGTGCAATTCAAATTTCTTCACTTAAAAGTGGAAGGTTTTGCTTTATAGATGACAAATATCATTTCTGGAGTGCCACAAATGTAATTTAAAAAAAAAAGAACAAAAAAATACAAAGTGTATGTATGTACAGATTAAGGTCCAAGCACTTTTTTCTCTCTTTTTTTCTGCAGCATTAACTAATGAACCATTTAATGCCATATTGTAATATTACAGCAATAAGACTTTGTACTGTATGTTGCTAAGGGACTCTAATGGCTAAAAAAAAAAAACATTTGGGAAGGCACTTGTGACGAGATGGGCGCCAGTTGGACAACTGAGCATTGGAAGTAGCAAATACTGCATGACAAACAGCAGATAATGCGCTCCTGTGATTTCTTGCATTTTTCTATATCAGTGTTGGATCTGGAGGTAAAAAATGATCATACCACGCTCCTCTTAAAGCAGCAAGTCCCGCTTTCTTGGTCAAAACAACAAAAATGAAATAAAAAATCTTTTTATAAACTATGCAATGAGTTTGTATCCTGTTCTTAGCATTTTTTAAGGTGCTGTTATGATTGAATGTAAAACGATTTTGGTAAAGTGCTAGAATTGTACATTTTATCAGCTGAGACTTGACATTCACAAGGGATCAGGTAAGTACACATGATGTCGTTTTTTAAGCTGAATGACTGATCTGAAGATCAGTGGCAATAATTAATAGGTCATGTACAGTGCCTTGAAAAGGTTTTCATACCCCTTGACTTTTTTCTCATTTTGTCCTGTTTTCGACCAAAAACATAAATGTATTTTATTGGGATTTTATGTAATAGACCAATACAAAGTGGCACATCATTGTGAAGTGAAAGGAAAATGATAAATGGTTTTCAAAATATTTTACAAATAAACATCTGAAAAGTGTGACGTGCATTTGTATTCAGCCCCCGTTACTCTGATACCCCTAACTAAGATCTATTGGAACCAATTGCCTTCAGAAGTCACCTAATTAGTAAATACAGTCCACATGTGTGTATTTAATCTCAGTATAAATACGGCTGTTCTGTGAGGCCCTCAGAGGTTGTTAGAGAACATTCTGAACAAACAGCATCATGAAGGCCAAAGAACACACCAGACAGGTCAGGGATAAAGTTGTGGAGAAGTTTAAAGCAGGGTTAGGTTATAAAATAATATCCCAAACTTTGAACATCTCACGGAGCACTGTTCAATCCATCATCCAAAAATGGAAAGAGTATGGCACAACTGCAAACCTACCAAGACATGGCCGTTCACCTAAACTGACAGGCTGGGCAAGGAGAGCATTAATCAGAGAAGCAGCCAAGAGGCCCATGGTAACTCGGGAGGAACTGCAGAGATCCACAGCTCAGGTGGGAGAATCTGTCCACAGGACAACTATTAGTCGTGCACACCACAAATTTGGCCTTTATGGAAGAATGACAAGAAGAAAGCCATTGTTGAAAGAAAGCCATAAGAAGTCCCATTTGCAGTTTGCAAGAAGCCATGTGGGGGACGCAGCAAACATATGGTGTTCTTGTCAGATGACACCAAAATTGAACTTTGTGGCCTAAAAGCAAAATGCTATGTGTGGCAGAAAACTAATACTGCACATCACCCTGAACACACCATCCCCACTGTGAAACATGGTGGTGGCAGCATCATAATGTGGGGATGCTTTTCTTCATCTGGGACAGGGTAGCTGGTCAGGATTGATGAGAAGATGGATGGAGCCAAATACAGGGAAATCTTAGAAGAAAATCTGTTAGTCTGCAAAAGACTGAGATTGGGGCAGAGGTTCACCTTCCAGCAGGACAACGACCCTAAACATACAGTTAGAATGGCCCAGTCAAAGTCCAGACCTAAATCCAATTAAGAATCTGTCGCAAGACTTGACAAATGCTTCCCATCCAGTCTGATAGAGCTTGAGCTATTTTGCAAAGAAGAATGGGCAAAAATTTCCACTCTCTAGATGTGCAAAGCTGGTAGAGACATCCTCAAAAAGACTTGCAGCTGTAATTGCAGCGAAAGATGGTTTTACAAAGTATTGACTCGGGGGCTGAATACAAATGCATGCCATACTTTTCACAGAATTATTTGTAAAAAATGTTGAAAACCATTTAGCATTTTCCTTCTACTTCACAATTTTGTGCCACTTTGTGTTGGTCTATCGCATAACATTCCAATAAATTACATTTACGTTTTTCGTTGTAACATGACAAAATGTGGAACATTTCAAGGGGGATGAATACTTTTTCAAGGCACTGTACAGCAGGTGTTGGAAAATGATCAATACATAGAATGTGCAAATGTTTGGATGGTCCCCTATCCGTAAACTACAAGAACTACATATGTGAAAAAATGAAATTCAGCTGAATTGAGAAAAAGATTGCAGTGGGTTTGACAGTGCAACAGACAGGGAACAAATGGAAAGATTTCTCTCTCTGTCCATTGAAGATCTGCCTATTAATGGGCAACCTTAGTACACACAAATTACTTATTCAGATAGAATAAATACAGTACAACCCAAGGTGCATACAGAAAAACATCAGACCCTTGCCTACGTTGTCTAAATGCTGCGTTTTTGTCTGCCTGCACGACATCATCTCACAGTCCAATCTGGGTGTCAAAACCAATGTAAAACTAAAACCTTTATCTGTAAAACGGTTTCTCTTTGTGAACAGGAAAGGGAAGTAGTCCCCTTTCCGCCCCCTAGAGAGTCCCTGTGCTTAACTGTTGAAGGACGTTGGTGGTGATTTGCCCATTCATCCTTTCCTAAAGGCTCATGTACACTGCAGCTGATAAACTCACGTTCAGGAGCTTTTCTGCGTTTTTTTCAGCAGTCCCTGAACTCTCCCTAATGTTTTCCTATGTGTCCATGTACATGTCGTTTACAGGCAGTTGAGTTTACAGTCGTTTTTTTGAACGCACCAAACTTGCATTCAGGAGTAGATTTTATCAGCGTTTCAAACTCTTGTAAATGTGTGTAAACCCGGCTAACCGCGTTTAGAAGCGTTTGCGTTTAGAAGCGTTTTTTAACTGTTCCATATCCAAATGCTGTACAGAGCCTTTTTTCATCATCAGAAATGTATGCAAAGTGTTTTCCATCTATTCAAATGGACCCGATACACCAGCGCAGTCAGTTCCAGGTTTTGCGTGAAGGAAAAAATGGTAGAACGTGCTGCATTATGCTCATGATGGGATCCATAGTGAATACAACCAGAAAAGATAGGTAATCTCAACACATACTGCTCTCTCTGCTTCTGCTCTCTCTTTCTCTCAAAATATCTGAAATAGTTAATTTTTTACTGTTTTTCAGTGCATTCTGGGCATTTTGGAACATCTCCTGAGGTTATCTTAAAACGCTTCTAAACACAAATGTTCATAAACGCAGTATGCAAACGCGGCTAAACAGACATTTTTTAACCTACGTTTTCCAGCAGTCAGTTTTCATCTTCAGAAGTGTTTTCCAAATGTCCCGTGTACATGGAGCCCAAAAAGAAATGCTGCTTAACAATAATTTAGCAAGACAACCTGCCCTTAGAATGACATCTGAATTTTAGAAGCCCGGTTTTCTAATTAGATTGGTTGACTAGCTGCAATATTAGAGTCCCCTGCGATGGAGCTATAAAACTCATGCGTGTTTGAAACAGTCCCACCATTTTCACAGATATGGTCTCTCTTGGTCTCAGGAACATTAACACATAAAGTATATTTATTATTAACTGAACTAGCTAATTGCTCTTCTACTTTCCAAGATGTGCAAGTGCCAGCTGAACAACCGCCTCCTTGTTATCTGAGCTTCCTCAACAATGATATGTGGTAACAGTCACAATGTCGAGGCCCTCTCGAGTTGTAACTTACATTGGGGCATTTGCTGGAAATTACAGAACAGTGCTCAAATAAGAACCATGATTATTTAGCCAAACTGTAAACTGTTTAGAGGGGTTTCAAAATATGAAATACTAGCCTCTGGTAATGTAAGCATGATTACATAAAAATAGCATGCCAGTGTTTGCA